CTGTTAAGGGTTCAATAAAGGATCTCGGCGTGATTCTAGACTCCAATCTTAACTTTCGAGAACACTTTGGCATGGTAGTTAACAGCGCTGCACGAATGCTTGGCCTTGTAACACGAAACAGCGTTGACCTGTCTATAAACGCCTTTAAATTGCTGTATTGCTCCCTTGTCAGATCTCTATTGGAGTATGCATCTGTGGTATGGTCACCCTATCATCAGGTGCATGTATCTGCTCTGGAGGGAGTTCAAAATAAATTCTTGCATGTTGTTGCCTGGCGTTTTAATATTAATGTCCATACCGATGCACAAAATCCATATTATATTGGTTATGAGCCTGTACTAAATCGCCTTGCGATTTCTACATTGGAGTCCAGGAGAGCGCAGTCTTCCATATGCTTTTTATACAAATTATTGATGGGAAGTAGTAACTGTGATTGTTTGCTAAATTTAATTAACTTTTCGACCACGCGTCGAACTAGAAATAGTGATCTTTTTTACATTCCCACCAATAGCACAAACTACGCCATGCACAACCCTCTCACCCGTATGTGTAGATTATACAATGAACATAATATCGATCCTTTTAAGTTCAGATCTCATCAGTTTAAAAAACATATTTCCAAAATTATGTAACTAAATTAAATTAGGTTGTTTTGGTATAAATGTGATATTGTTGTGTTAGTATCACTTATGAAATTTTGATATATTTTGTTATTCTACTAAAATTGTAAAAATGGAGTTTCCGTATAAATAAATAAATAAAAAATAAAATAAATAAATTAAATACAGATCCGTACCAATAAAATTTGAATTACGGTCCATATTACCCAAAAACCGTCATTGAATGCCATTGTGTAATACACCACTGGATGCAGGATGAAAAGTTATTTCACATAATGTTATAAAATATCTAGGTCTATATTTAAAAAAAATCAGTTGAGGGTGGTCTGGAGAATACGAAACGTTGAATGCAAAATATGAGAACGTCAAATCAAAGAAAATTTACTATCAAATAAAAAACCTTTAAAATATTTTTTAGTAGTTCTGAAAATAAATGAACGATAACCAAAAAACCGAAAAGGTCAAATTTCCTTTTATCGAAATATCTCGAGAACCGGGCTTGCTATTTTCGATTAATTTCCACCGCTAGATTATTTATTTATTTATTTAATAAAAATCCAAACAGGCTTAACTAGCCTAATTACATGGATAGTATAATTTAAGTAATTTTTTACAGGTGACATAATATTACAGTATTTTAATTGCAGAGGATAAATCACTTTAAATGGTAGAATTAAATAATTTTAAGAAATTTTACATGTTTTTAAAGTAGTTGTTATTTATATTATTTAAATTCCAAAGGTATCGAAGTAAGATATTATCAACTTTTTAAATTGCATTAAAGACAGAGACCAATCTAAGTTTACTATAGTATTAATATTATTGGCCAAACACAGAATTGAATAAAGTGGAGAACCAGCAGAGTTTTGTATATTGAATATTAGGGAGTTCCGTGTGCGTTTAGGAGGGACATGAAACGGTATGTAGTATAAAAGTTTGCTACAGTTTATTTGATTATTTATCACTTTGAATAACAAGTTCATCATTGCTATTTTACGTATCGTACTTAAAGACAGGATTTTAAATTCTTCACGTAACATTTGAGATCTTACATAATTATAGTCAGGCCATCGATGATACTTTTTATAGTATGTATAACGTAGGTATTTATTTTGAATTTTTTCGACAGAATCTAGATATATTTGCGGTTGTTGCCCCCAAATCATGCAAGCAAAATCTAACTTTGACCGGACTAATGTTTTATATAATAAATCAATTGTTTTCAAATTATAAAATAGTGCTGTTTGTCTTATAATAAAACCTAATGTACGATTGGCATTATTAACAGTATATCTTATATGAGATGCAAATGACATTTGATAATTATACGTAACCCCTAGGTCTTTAATTTCTTCTACACGTTTTAAATATTGATTGTTCATGATATAATTGAAAACAATAGGATCTTTTTTCCGACTTATTGACATCACATAACATTTACTCTCATTGAAATTAAGTTTGTTTTCGACACTCCATAGATGAATGTTTTCTATGTCTCTTTGAAGCATTACACAGTCTCTAATCGTTTGAACCTTTTTAAACATTTTGAAGTCATCTGCAAACATTAAACAGTCTGAAAATTTAACACAAGAAGGAAGATCGTTAATGAATATTAAAATGAGCAGCGGTCCCAGGTTAGAACCTTGTGGTACTCCAGAGTTTGAATATTTTCTGTTCGAAATATTTCCATTCTGTTTTACCACAAACTCCCTATTTTTCAAATAACTTTTTAACAATTGTATTAAGTTTCCTGCAATTCCCATATTATATAATTTTTGAAGTAAAATCGAGGGGGTAGTCACTTGAGATTTTTTAGGACAGAAAATCTCCATTTGTGGAGATCTTATTGGATCTCCATGGATATCCTTGGATCTCCATGGATATCCTTGTATCTCCATGGATATCCTTGGATCTCCATGGATATCCTTAGATCTCCATGGATCTTCGTATATCGCCTCCAGACCTCCATAAACATTTCATTCAATTTTGTATGGAATTAGATCTTTGGAAAATATGTGATGTGTCCAACACATGACTTTCTTTAACTTACCTTAACTAACCTTAACTTATGCTTTCTTATCTTTTTCGACTTTTCCTCAGTTATGGGACAAAAATTATAGAGAATGACGTCACAAACAACTTTTATTTGAACAATTTTCTTAAAAATATGAATTTTGCACTTTTTGTCAAATTTATCGAATACGGTCCAATTTAGGGAAATTATGTATAGAACAGAAATTATAGAGAATGACGTCACAAACAACTTTTATTTGAACAATTTTCTTAAAAATTGAAATTTTGCACTTTTTGTCAAATTTCTCGAATGCGGTCCATTTTAGGACAATTATGTATACAATTATGAACAACTTTTTATGACCAGGTAATATTTTGAATTTATTTGGAACTTTTTTGTATACTTCATAGTAATTTTCGTACTCATCTGGTTCAATTAGATGTGGAAGCTCTTCTTGTGAAAATTTTTCAATTTGTTCTATATCTTGATTTGTTTTAGTATCTCTAGACTAAAATAGCCCGAAATTTTCAAAATATTTTTTAGAGAAGGCTGTAGTGAAGGCAAGTCCTTCTCAAAGTCTAGTTGTTCGTTGTCCATTTTATTGTACCTAAAAGTATTAAAAAAACGTATATTAGTTTTTAACAAGCTAAAAAATGCTCGAAAAAATGCAGTGAAACTATTCTCAAATAAAGGAAACAAAAATTCCATTCTCAAATTTGACCAATTTAAATAAAATATTTTTCTTTTTTTATATAATCAATCGCCTGTTGCGGCATTAGCCAAAGGAGCAGCTGTTTTTAGGAGGAACCGGTCTCTCGATATTTTTGTGACAACTAACTTTGAGTTTTTTCCATCTTTCGTTTATTCTCATATAGTTATACAAAAAAAGATAAAAAACGCTATTTTTTTCATTATTCCATTAACAAAAGTAAAAATAATAACTTTTTTTTAACGTTCATTGACTATGCCAGTTACGTTTCTTTTTTTGAAAAGCATGTACTTTTAATTAATTTCTAAGATGCACCCCACGGTTTCTGACATAGCCAATGCACATTAAGAAAAGTTAGTTCTTACTTTGTAGTCATTAAAAGCGTCTTTTATTAGTTTTTTAAACTATATTTAATTTTTTGCTTTTTAATCATAATATTTACGTCGAGATTTACGTTAATATATTGAATTACTAATATTACAATTAAAAAAAATGTGAAATACAAAATGTAAAAAAACAACCCTTTCGGGAATAGAGCTTATTTCTAATAAAATCGTGTTAAAAAAATTTAAATAAACTCACTTACCTTTTACATTCGCCAATAAATAACACACACACTACTACCACATCTATGCTTTACGTAAGTTATGCTTGTATGTATTTATAACAGGTACATACAAGTACATTCTTGAGCTCATCACTATTATAGCAGACGGAGCAGACCTGATTAAATAAAATACAGCCGAAAACAGACTTTCACGTGTTGCCAAAGACCTAAAGCAAATAGCCGCGTGAGCGCGTGCCGTGGTACCTGTTAAAATGATGTGCGCACGCAATTACGCTTTTCCGATTCTACACGACTACAGCCGAAGTTCCTGGATCTCCACCGGATCTCCACGTATCTCCACCGGATCTCCAGGGATATCCATGTATCTCCACGGATCTCCAAGGATATCCATGTATCTCCACGGATCTCCATGGATCTCCATGGATCTCCATGCATCTCCACGGATCTCCACGGATCTCCATGAGATCTCCATGAGATCTCCATCCCGTAGGACAGAAGATTTCCACAGTGACTACCCCCTCGAGTAAAATATCATGGTTAACGAGGTCGAAAGCTTTTGAAAAATCTGTGAAAATTGTATCTAATTGTGATTTTTCATGAATAGTTCTAGATGCGACTTCTGTGAATATTAATAAATTGGTATTTATTGATTTTCCAGTAACAAAACCATGTTGCTCATCAACTAATATATTTTTAATATGATTATAGATTTTATTATGCTTCGAGATACGCAACTTTTTCTCCATTTAATCGACTTTCTAACTAGTATGCTTTGGAAATTACTAATACAATCCCATTAAAAAAGTGGCCACCCTGTATAACTTTCTTGAACCATCCGGATTTTTCTTGAGAAGGAATGACATTTCTGGACTATTCTATCTTCTTCCTTTACACGTACTTTTACTTGTGACGACCGCAGCACACTGTAAGGGGATGGGTGATATTGCGCTTCTTTTTGTAATCACACGTTTCCTATAACAGCTGCAGGGTAGCAGTATTATGTTTATTTTATGATATTGTCTACTCTATTTAAAAAATTAAAAATATTGGAGTACATTTTCATAAATTCTCTGCTCTTGATAATTTCAGAAGATGAACAATTACCTCCACTGTCTACAATAGAACAGCGTTCTTTGGCAATTCTCGAAGAACTTCCGTTCCTCATCAATTTTAATACGAGAGTTTTACTTTTGCGGGATTTGTGTAGAAACAGTTTAGGAGAGGACGATTATCAAAGACTTCACCACGAACTGATGCACGACAATGTGATAGTAATACGTAGGACCCACATCTATGAGGATGCTTTCGATAAAATATCACAAAAAAGTGGTAAGAGGTTGTTTGTTTTATATTATTTAGGCCCGGTACTTTGTGCTCTTGTTAAATTTCTGATTAACTAATCACGTTGTTAAACTAATCATAATCAAATTGACAGGAAAGTAGTGAATGGGTACTTTATGAGTAAATTTAACAAAGATTAGTTAATCAATATTTGATTTAAGTTTTCAGTAGTGCTACCACTGTCTCTTCTTCTTTTTATTTATTATTTCGCATTTGCTCAAATTTGAGGAAAAACGATGAACATACGTTGTGGAATATTTGTAATGTATAAGAAAGAAAATGTTTTACGCATTTTGTCGAAGCTTAAATACACATGTCAGTTAAATCAAGTCCGCTTAGGAAATTGTGGTATTGTTAAAATATTTATTGCTTGAATTAACTGAATTAACGGCATTAAAATGAATTTGCATGAGATAGACGACATTTTTTATGATTATGGTGAAATTATTGATTATGTTCGTAATCAACGAACCTATACCGTTGATGAACGTGTAGACCACATGAATAAATGGGATGATGCAGAATTTTTCAGAAGGTTTCGATTTTCAAAAGAATCAGTTCGTTTTATTCTAAATGAAATAATTGAAATTCTTGATAGGGACATATTGATGTAAGTATATAATTTTTTGCTTTTTTTATATTAGAATTATATAATGATTTTTATATTTTACTTTCTTATAGGTACCATGAGGTAGATCCCCTCAAACAACTTCTGTTAACCCTTAGATTCTACGCTACAGGAAGTTTTTATAATGTTCAAGGTGATTTTGCAGGGATACATAAAACAACAACAGGACGAATAATTCAGAAAGTTACCACTGCATTAGTAAGTTTACGAGAACGATATGTACATATGCCACAGACAGAAGAAGAAAAAACAGAAGTACAGGCTGGTTTTCTAGCAATAGCAAATTTTCCAAGATTAATAGGGGCCATTGTCTGTACTCATGTGAAAATATCATCAAGATGTTTGTTTTACTTATTAATAATAATAATAATAATAATAATAATAATAATAATCTGCTTCCTTAGCTTTTATTTTTTGAGACTTTTGAACTTAATTAACTATTTTGGGAGGAGAAAATGCAGAATTTTACAGAAACAGAAAAGGATATTTCTCTTTAAACGTGCAAGTTGTATGTGACAGTAAACATAACATCAGGGACATTGTAGTTAGATGGCCAGGTTCCTGCCATGACTCGCATATATTTAGAAATTCATTTTTAAAGGAAAGATTTGAAAATGGCGAATTTGGCCACTTAGTTTTGATAGGTGACAGTGGCTATGCCCTTCAAAAATTTTTAATGACACAATTGCCTAATCCTGTAACCAGATCAGAACAAATGTATAACCAGTCTTTAATAAGTACACGTACCATTATTGAAAGGACATTTGGTATTTGGAAAAGGCGATTCCCTGTACTGGCCATAGGAATGAGGTGCAAGAAGACCACTCTTATTCAAGAAATTATAATTGCTACTGCAGTTTTGAATAATATTGCAGTTTCCAGAAGAGAACAGGATGTTTTTGAAGATTTACCAGCTGAAATAATTGATTTACCAAATGTGGACGAAGTTAACATGGATGAAAATGGAAATGAAATCCAGCTGGCTCAAAGATTTATTAATTATTTTCAAAATTTTTTGTAACAAGATAAAAGTACCAGTAGCTGACACATTATGATTATTTTTTTCCTTGTAAATTAGTCTGGCAGCTGGCAACAAACCATTACATACAACAGTTATTTTAATTTTTATCAGTTATTTTTAGCTCGGTTTTCACTTTCAAAATAGGATTTAGTATTAGGTTTCGAAATTATTTGTTAGGATCCTATGCTCGACACCTGGTATCAGGTACTGGTTCACTAACAAAAAATAAAACCTTAAGATGACACTCTCACAATTTTTCTTGTTTTAGAAGGTATATGACTAGTAACCTAAAAATTATTTAGATTATTCGGTTATGTACCTATACCAATTAAAAAAAAAAACATCTAAAATATAATAAAAAAAACTATTTGTTTTATGGTTAACTTGCCCTTGTTCATAGATTATAAAAATAAATGTAAAATTTTAGGAACAAGCAACATTAACACGTTTCAGCTGTAGCAGCACTTAGGCCTTACTAGGCCCATTGTGCATCCTCCTAAGATGATATGCACCTCCTAGCTCGTGAGCCAGCCTACAGATTTAATGTAGTTGACAACGACGCCAAGAGGTGCTTCTTTTATATCGGCCGGTGTTAGCCGATACTCGCCGAACAAAAATCTTCAAATAAATGAGAGTTAAGGATATGCTCGATGGCAGTATCTTCTTGTTTGCATCCCCTGCAGAGTGCGGATTCTGACAGCCCCATGATATGGAGATGCTTCCGTACTTGGCAATGAACAGTCAGATTTGGCACAAAATAATATGATATTATGACTAAATGGTACTTATTTTTGATATTTAAAAGATAATGTATCAGGTATAGCACTGTCAGCTATTGGTGCCACTACCTTATGTATTTTTGGTTTTAAAAATAAATGTACAATATTTTATTAATTAGTTTTATTTGTACAATAACGTTTTAAACACAAACATAACTAATATTAACTAATGTAAAAAAAAAACGCAAGATTTCGATATTTAGGAGATTTTCTGAAAATTATTAAAAACAAAACAAAAACATTTGAAAAACTGGCTCAGATGAACTGATTTAACCTTTTCCTACACATACATGTTTTTTTACTAAAAATAAAAAATTCAATGTTCTTATAAATTTTCCCGTAATCTTTTGTTTAATTCACATTTTAATAAATCAATTTTAATTTTTTTTTCTGATTCTTCCATCTCGAACAATATTTTCTTTCGTTTTCGTTCTTCAACAACTTCCAAATATTCTTCCTCTTTTTTCTTTAAATCAATGTCCAACATTTTTCTTTTCAATTCCCATTCAGTCTTTTCTCTTTCCATTTCTATTATTTTTTGTTTTTGTTCTTGTTCATAGCACTGTTTTTATAAGTCACATATTTCTATTTTTGAAGCAATTAGTTTTTTGTGTCTTCTACCGCATTTTGTTTTTCGTTTCTACTTATAGTTTTTTTTTTAAATTCCATCCTGAGCGTCTCTAAAAATGTCAATAAGTTTAATGTCTTTGTAATGTCTCCATAACAGTATTTTTTAAATTGTGACTGCACCAGAAGATGGCCTATATGATGAAAACATGTGTAGTGACGGAATTGACGGAAAATACCAAATTTTTTATTTGAAAATATACAAATATAGTTAGTTTTTAAAGAAGTTTCTTGAATATGATTATAGTTAGTGGACTTACTTTTCTTGTATTTCCATCTGTTGCAATATTTGAAAATTGTGCTGTAGATGGAGTTTCCGCAACTTTTGCTGTAGAAGGAGTTACAGCAACTGTAGGAGGTACAGCAACTATAGATGAAGGTACAGCAACTGAAGATATACTTTCATTTTCTTCTATGTCTTCTATGTAATATCTTGGAATACCTGAAGTAATTAAAATTATTGTAACTGAACTAAATAAATATTGCAGATAGATATTTTGAAATTCTTGTAAAAATTCAGAATAATGTATAGATATCTACTAAACACTAGAAAATAATTTTTATGCATACTTATTATTTATTAACGGATAATAAATCATATTTTACTAATACCATACGTACTAAATTAATTAGTTGACTGGTACCATTGCTTTCTGATGTAGTATCAGAAGATACCTCACTAATAGTTGGATTTTTCACATCTGAATCTCCCATAGATGGTAATCCGGAAATGCATAATTTCAAATGAGCATATAACTGCTCTTCATACCAGAGCAATTTTATGACATGTCCAGGTCCACCACCAGTTCCATTACAATTTTTATTTAATTGAGCCATTTTTAATTTTAATGTTCTTTTAATATTATCATATTTTATTTTTAGTGAATTTATATCTCTAAAGTTGTCTGATACCCTATTGAAACTGCTTGCAATTCTTCCCCACGCATCTTTTTTATCCCTTTGGCTTACTGCGTCAGTCGTTTTTCCTTCAATTATGTTTATTTCGCATAGAAGGAATTTCATGAAAATGTCTGTTTCATTTTGTTGAAACTGCTGCCTCTTTTCTTTTTCTCGTCCATTCTTCTATCTTCTTATAATTACACTTTTATATTATTATTTAACTCAAATTCAACTGACCCAGAGAAATAATAAAAATAAAATGAAATTAAAATGTCGAGTTGAATGTCAGTGTCCAATATCGAAAGTCACATTTACGTATAGAACATAATGATTCAGAATTCTAAACCAAAGTATATTAACCATTGATGGTGCGTTTGATTTGATCATCGGAGATCTCCGAGCGCTGCAAACGTGTTTGAATTGACACTCCGAGAGATCCCTAAAGTGTTTGTTTTGCTTTGGAGCGAGAACATAGAGCGAGCTCGATGTTCTCAGAGCAGATGGATCGAGAAGAGGGAGAAATTTGTCTTTGTCTCTACCTATCTCCTTTTAACTAACTTACAAACAAATTTGAATCTCAAAATTAAAGACCAGACAAGAAGTCAACAAATTACTTAGCCGCTTTTGTCTTATAGCTAAAATTATTCGTAATAAAAAACACAAAATGTGTGTTTGGAAAATACATTTTCTCTGTCCAGATCTAATCACCAGTAATAACAGGCATGGAGTATGAGAGTGAAGCGGGCATTTGTGGTATATGCTGCATTTCAGGGCCATTACTCCTTATTATTCAAAGTTTTTCCATTTTCTTTACTTTTTGCTCACTATTTTGACACACAAACCAGAATCACAAAAAAGCGAGGTTATGTTTTTTACTCTGTTTTATTTGATTTGATTTAATGCTCTATTGTGACGTCATCACTTCTCGGTCTCCTCGACGCTCGCTCGATCGAGTTTCAAATCAAACGCCCCTTGAGTAGCGACATAAAGCGTCGGTGCCTTTGATCTTGGGTGGTGCAAATTTTCTTTCTCTCTCTTTTGACGTTATTGACGGAAGGACACACTAAAATACTGCTCGAATTATAAACTGGTCTTGAATGTGATGTTTACACTGCTCGACGTAATTAGAAGTAAACCTCTTTTGTAGTTTACATTTATAATAAAGGTTTGGTCATTAGGCAGTTTTATATTTATGAGTAAATTTAACTTATGTAGTAAATATAAAAATATATATCACTATTGATAAATTATTTAAATACTTAAGATAAATAAAAAACCCATTTATAATAATTGTACCTGGTACATATGCTGTATATCCTGTAGATTTTATAGGAAATATACGAAAGAGGCCTTATCACATCAAATTTTCATAAATAATTTCCAATAAAAATAAGATTATTATTTGATAAATATCAAATATAGTGTGTAATTCAAGGTACTTACCTTTCATATTCTTCTGGAAATGAAAACAGTGATTTGTTATCACCAGATCTTGTCGAGCAAGGTCGATAAGCACATGCATTTCTTGGCATAATAAAAAACTCACAAAATCCCAAAAGATCTTAACAAAAACACTAATAAGAACACTAATAAGTCCACAACAACGAATTCCTATATTAGCTGCCGCACTAAAGTGAAGACGTTTCGCCTCTCTATTTCGCGTCGGCGCACTAGAATTCGGTTCCACAGCTGTCGCTACTCAATGGTCAATATACTTTGTCTAAACCATGGAATTATAAGTACAGAGCCAATATTTCTGATTAAAGTTTTAATTAATGAAAAAAGATGATGTTAAATATAACAGAGACACGCCCACATTTAATCATGATTAAGGTATAACCATTGCGTAAAGTACCGAAATTCTGTGTTAAAATTTAATTTTCTGTTAAATTAACTTAATCGGCTCGCAAAGTACTGGGCCTTAAAATACCAAAATTGTAACTTTATCTTAGGAGAAGAATGATATTTTTTAAATAATCAATATTTTGTAGAGTTGGACTTGAAACATAAAGTTAGAATCCAATTTATAAATAGCGTTGGACTGGAAGAAGCGGGGATCGATGGTGGTGGTATATTTAAAGAATTTTTAAATGAAGTTCTTAAAACAGCTTTAGATCCAAATAGAGGCTTTTTCTTGTTAACTGCTGACAATACTCTGTACCCAAATCCGAATGTTCATCTTATAGTCGATAACTTTACTGATCACTACTATTTCATAGGAAGGCTAGTAGGAAAGGTAAGTTTTAAAATATATTTAAGCACCCTGTGCATAAAAACCGTATAACTAGATCAATATTTAAATCAACTGATTTCCAAATATAGTATTTAAAAATAACATTTTTACCGAAATTAAAGATGAAGGTATAATGTAATCTTAATTTATTTACACTAAGATGCTAATTTATACTCTATACTATTTAATTTATATGGAGAATATTAATCTGCTCACAGCGATATCTCAACTTCAACTCTGTAAAACAATAAATCCAAGGGAAATACTTTTAGCTACAATTAAACTTTGAATATGTTACGAAATTGAAATTGACATAAACATTCAAATTATTATCCAAGCAATATAATAAATAATATATTTTCTACATTCTCCACCCCGTGAAGGATCTTCACTTACGTTTGTTTAAAAAACTGGGAGAACACATAATTTCGATACAGGCCTATATAGTGTAAGTACCTTTCGGGTAGATAACCTTGGCAACGAATTACACCGTCTTTCCTAGGGTAGACTTCTTTGATTATTCGTAGAAGCCATTCGTTCCTTGGTAATTTCTCATCATAACTACTATATCTGAAGTCTTAATGGGTGTACCCTTTTGATGCCATTTTTTTTTTGGTGATTAATAAGACTTGAACCCAATGTTTTTAATATAGATCCTCTAGAGTTTGTGTGAAAATCCACTGCTTCTTCGTTACTAGATTATTAGGGCCAGATGATATTACACCACCATGTCTTAGCAATAAAAAATGGTTCAGCTTCAAGGAGTAAAGTTAGAAGAACCTCTTTTTTCGTTTTACAGTATTGTAACAATAGTTTAATTTATTTATAGTTTATTTATTTGTAACGTACTAATTAATTTATATAATACTTAGGTACTAACTCACAATTCTAATTTATTTATTACAATTTACCTTTTCAGTCCAATACTTTATTCTAAACTACTCGTCCTTCGATGAAATTGCGCTATTTATACAAAGCCCACTTTATACGAGAAGTCTAAACGATGTGGAATGTCCTAGAATTCCATCTCTATGACTCACGTCACGTCACGTACCGCTTGTTCTGGTATGTTCGAGACGCCGAGCGTTTGTCTCTATACGTCAGCAGTGTTTCGACCATGAGTCGAGTGGCAGGCTGAAGGTCGCGCTGTACAGGGGCGGCTTAGGCATTCCCATGACAGTATAAAGAGTTACCTTTAAAGATATCTTTACTGACTTTATTATTCGCTCCCACACACCAGCCATGTTTGGAGTTAGAGGGCAGTTAAATTTCCAGACTGTTCCTTGAAAGCTTAAACTATCGGAGATCCTTTGGTGATCCAATGAGTCAAACCAACTTTTTAACTCTTAGCCTACAAAATTGGTTCCATTATCTGTCCAAATTTCCTTAGGCTGCAACAAAAACGACGAATGGACATAATGGTTGAACTAGTTTCTAAAGATGCAACTAATTCTATGTGAACCGCTCTTATGGTCAGACAGGTGAAAAGAACATCGTAGCGTTTTTCTGTTCTACGCCCTATAGAAACATTCATCGGACCAATGCCGACATATGTAGAGGGAAACACATTTTGTTCTAATCTCACGGAAGGCAGGATACCCATCTCCGGGGGTAACAGGTTTACAGTTTCTAATTTTGCAGAACTGACATTTGGAAAGAAACTTTTTTAACAGCCGAACGAATGTGTAAAATCCAGAATTTTGTTCGAAGGTTATTTATTACAGTTTCAACTCCAATATATCCTGCTTGTTTATGGTAGTAATCAATAAGCAATTCTGTATACTTATTTTTCGAGTCAAGAATGATAGGAAATCGAGAATCATAACTTAAATTCAATTCTGTATTTGGGAACCTACTACTTAGTCTAAGAATTACATACTGATCTATAAATGGAAACAATTTAAAAAAAAAACTAGATTTGGGGATATATTTACTTTTCGAAAGGAATTGTAATGACTCCATTTTATTCACAAAATAGATGCTTTAATTATAAATTTTATATCAAGGATTAGGGAATTCTGTTTAGAAATCGGGTGTTTTAGTTTTCTTAGATTTTACGGATACTTAGGAAAATAGAGCATCTTTTAATTTTAAGATCCACCCTGTAGAACGAATTAAACGAGACCATTTGGAGAATCTATTTACATCAGGCAACACAAAGATTTTATCAGTATCTTTTGTAATAACACATACATCTTCGCATTTTAATTCAGGTTCTTTAGGCCAAAGATCTTCCGACAATCTGAGAAATTCTGGACCTTGCAGCCAAATGTCCAGATCAAAATTTTTACCTTCTTTCGTGGCTTTATCAGCTACGTTTAATTCGGAAGAAACCCATCGCCTTTGAGAGATATGTTTCCACTTGTATTTCCCCTATCCTACATGCAACAAAGCTTAGGAATCGTCGTAATTGAGACAGAATTTGTTTTAAAACAATCATGGAATCCGTCCAGTAAAAAATTTGGTCGATTTTGTATTCGATTTCAGTACATACTGCTTTGCCTAACCTGCACCCTGAAGTTCTAGCTTTGGGATGGTTTGTTGTTTTAGGGGAGCAACTTTGAATTTTGAACGAATGAAACATATTTATTTTCTGGGAAACCAGAAACAATGTCACCTACAGAAGAATATGCTTTTTCACTAGCGTCGGAAAGTAAATGAGGAGTAACCTCTGAAACATACGAAAGAGACGGGAAATAGTATCTAGGGATCTTAATAGGCATTGCCTCTTAGAAATCTAACAACCATTTCTGCCATTTAACAAAAATATCATCAGGAATTGATGTATCCCAATCTATAGACACTTTAGAATGCGTGTTTGAATTATTATTAGAGCTAAAAAACCTAAAGGGTCAAATATTGACATAACAAATCAAAGAATTTCCTTTTCAGTTGGTATCTTTGTTTTGGAAGGAATTTTTTTACAATTTAAAGAGAAAATAAATTCATTCTAACATAATCCAAGAACTCTTTCAACTTTTTCATTTGACTTAGGAAGGTGATCTTAATCCTAGAGGAATTGATCTTAAAACTTTCTCAGAATTGGTTATCCATTTAACCGTTTTAAATCCAGCCTTATTATGGACAAAAAAGACATCAGCAACCCTTTTTATAGCTACTTCTTCATTAAAACAAGAATCGAGATAATCGTCAACGTAGTGTTGCCACTCCATACACCTAGTAATACCTGGAAAATCCTTTTCAAATTCAGAAGCGTTTTTATTCTTAACAAACTGAGCAATGGAAGGAGAAGAAGATTAAAACATTCATTTGATACACATCAGTGTCACGATTTCTCTCCATACCCCTCCACAAAAAACGCTGTGCATATCTGTCCTCCTGGCGAATTACTACCTGGTGGAACATCTCTTACACATCTCCGCTAAATGCTATTCTCCCTTGTCTAAAACGCCAGAGGACTGTTACCAAGGAAGACACATAATCATGACCTTGTAACAAAAAATCATTTAGACTTTTACCCTCTGAACGACAAGCAGCATCGAAGTCAAGACGAATAGTATCCTTTTTTTTAGCGGGTCAAACTGCAAAATGGGGAAGGTACCAGTCTTCTTCGGAGTAACAGCAGCTTCTGATATGTTTAACTTTCTTACATACTTCTTAGTTATTTAGTTTTTATTTTCTGACAGTACTGCACTGCAAAATCAGAATCTTTGTTCATCTTCCTCTCCATGCAAAGTAGACGATTATAGGCGTTGGGATAACTATCCAGTAAAATAGTGTTTTCATCTTTCCATAAATGGCCTATTTCAAAACGATCGCTAATTCTACTAAACGTTTTCTCCATGATGTCCAATCTTCCGATCTTCGACAGATTTAACTGGAGATTCAGGTTTCAAATCGACTCAAGTTTAAAGCTATCTTTAACAAGAATGTGAAGATCTTGTAAATGCTGGCAACAAAAGTTAATGTGTCTAGGATTTTCTTTATTAAAATTAACAGAACCACTTATGGTCCATCCTAGTCTAGTTTTACTCATTACAGGAGCGTGTAAATCTGGTTGAATAATCTGTCTAGGGATAATATGGCCGTAATTATCTTGTCCAATCAATATTTGGACTTTAAAATGGTAGGATCGAGGTATGTTAACTTATGATACAGTTCTTTAACGTTAATACTTTGTGTTGGAAGCTTTAAAGTCTTCACAATTCTTACTCCATTCATCTTGTAGTAGTTTGAATTTAGACTTGCAAATGACTAGCTTAGAGTTATCTTCAAAATGAACTATACCATTATTCCACTGGAAGCACAAAAGAAATGTGGGTCCGGCTAAGCCTATATTTTCTGCAACATCTTCATCTATCATAAATCAAGTGGGACCTACGTCGAAAAGAGCAAAGGTTTCCATTTCTGCTATTGGTCCACGAATTTTGACTGGAGCAATTCTTAGTAAGGCGGTTTTATTGTCTTCTTTATTCAGATTACCACAGAAATTTAAATAGGGAAAAGGTTGTTCTTCAGGTTGTTGTTCTAATTTTCCTTCTAAATGAAGAAGTTTATCATGTTTACCTTTGCACCCGTTTTCACCACATCTTTTTTTTTTTTTTCGAAAACATTTTTGTGCTACGTGGCCAGCTTTTAAACAAAGAAAACACAATTTCAGAGCCAAAACGATATCTCTTCTTTGTTCGATGGGTTTCTTTAGGAAAACACCGCATTCTTGTATGTTATGTTTGTCATATTTGCACAAATTACATCCTGTAATAACGGTTGAAGTATGTACCGACCTAGCATGCCTTTTTTCAGATACTAAAACATTTTCTTTCTTACAACTATTTCTATCGAAAAGATTTTTAATGCAAGACATAAGGTCAGCTTCTTCTTCCAGCCAAATTGCAAAGTCTTTTAGGGTAGTCTGCTGATTCTGAAGGTCCAGTTGTCGTCTATACTTTGCCCAATTATATTTATGAACTACAGAAAATTTATCCAACAGCGTGGATATAAATTCTGCATTATTTAAATAGGAGGTACCATTGATATTTTTCATTGTAGTCATCATATTATTTACTGCATTAGAAAAAGATATGAAAGTTTCTAATCGATCTTCCTTCACTGGAGAAAATTTTCTTACTTTATCTATTGGTGACATAATTATCCATTAACTGTTTCTCTAGCCTTTCCCCGAAAAGCTCTGTCTAATCGAATCAGATTTTCCGCATCGGATATACTATAAGCATCTGTAGTTCTACGGAATTCACTAATAAAGATTGGCCATTCACTTAGTTCTCCGGAAAAATGTACCAGATCTCTCAACCTTTGATCAAAGAGCAATTTATTTGTATTTGCAGTATTCTCAACACACTGCTTGGTAATATTTAAAAGCAGATTATCGTCGGTGTTTTTATTATCAATTTGAACAGACATAGAGTTGTTTAAATTATCATTAGTTAGCTGATAATTGATAGGAACCTCTTGGCAAAAATTAGGAACTTGATCTTTATTTACAATTTCAGATATATTTTTTTCATCTTCTATCCACTTTCTTATTTCTTTTCCGCCATAGAAACTATTTGGGCGACTATTATGGCGAGATGGAGATGATGAGGAAACACTAGCACGATGCTCAAGTTCTAATATTTTCTTTTGAGTATCAATCTTTCGTTTTAAAAGTTCGTTCTTCCTACTAATAACCTTTATTCTTTCTTAATGTAACTAATTGAGAATCCAAGGCAAACTAAGTTTAACTACGATTAAACTTTGAATATATTACAAATTCTAATTGACATAAATACTCAAATTATTATCCAAGTGACATTCATAAACTACTACATAAAAATAAAAATAATACATAGGCGCAAGTAAATAAAATATTTTCTACAAACTACATTATAACGACAAAATTGAGATATTTCTATGAAAATGTGGCGTTGCAGACTTGTCTCGAAAAATGTAGATGCTATCGACTAGACTAGAGCGAATGCGGTAATTTCTAAAAATATTTCATAGTAAACTGGACGGTTACTTGGACCGACATGGGCGTATCAAAGGAGAGTTTCGGAGATGACTTGTTTCGTCGAATATTTTTGGTATCGGGAAAAATGAAGGCCATAAAATGCCCAAATAAGACAAATAGGTAATATAGCATGCCCGGACTGGTCGATAATTTTTCGCATTATAATTATTTATGACGTCTTACTATTGAAAATTGATTAATTAAATATTTTTAATAAAAACCAATCATTTAAAATTCTTCCATTTTATTACAACAGAAAAAATATGATGCGTTCAACACAAGATTTTAATGTCTAGTTAGTCTAGTCTAGTTCTTTCCCAGGACAAGCTTAGCTTTTGGGGTCAAAATTCACTTGTAATATTATTTTTTTTTTATTACATGCTTTTTCAGGTTATTTTGTACAACCTATTATATCACCCCTGTAAATTTTTAGAGGATGAACTAAGTACATACATTTTCCACACAAATCTTACTCAAAACATTTTTTTATATAATCATGGTCAACGAAAATACTGAAAAATTAAAATTCACACTTTTCCTCAAATTTTTTTATTACGGTCCATTTTAGAGAAATAATGTATAGAACCAAAATTATAAAGAATGATATCGCAAACAACTTTTATTTGAACAATTTTATTAAAAATTCGAATTGTGCATTTTTTGTCAAATTTCTCGAATATGGACCATTTTAGGAAAATTTTGCATAGAACAAAAATCATTACAAGCAACTTTTATTTGAAGAATTTTTTTCTCAAAGTATAAATAACAGATACATTCCATAAAATAGAAAAATAATACCCTATAAAGTACCCCAAGATGTTCCGCCTATACCCAAAATTTAATCAGTTTACCGCAAGATGTATTAAAGCTTAAATTAAAAATTTAGTGTTTTTAACTTTATTCGTTTTCGAAATTTCAAATTTCAAAATTCGAAATTTGCACTTTTTTTCAAATATCTTGAATACAATCTATTTTAAAGAAATTATGTATAGAACAAGAATTATAGGGAATGACATTTCAAACAACTTTTAATTGAAGAATTTTCTTTTCCAAGAGTAATAATAGGTATATTCCAAAAATAGAAAAGCGATCCCCTATAAAGTACCCTCCAGATATTCCATTTATACCCAAAATTTATTCAGTTTACTGCAGGATGAATTAAAGCTTAAATTTAAAATTTTGTACCTTTTTATCTGTTTTTGAGTTTTCTTCAAAATTCAAAAATTGACACTTTTTCAAATATGTTGAATACAGTCCATTTTAGAGAAATTATGTAAATGACATCACAAACAATTTTTATTTGAACAATTTTCTTAAAAATTTGAATTTTGCAACTTTTGTCAAATTTCTCGAATGCGGACCATTTTAGGAAAATGTGGGAGAGGACAAAAATTATAGAGAATAACATTACAAGTTACTTTTATTTGAAGAATTCACTTCTCCAATCGTAAGCAACAGATATATTCCATAAAGTAGAAAAATTACTCCCTATAAAATTCCTCCCTCCCCTCCAGATGTTCGGACTATGTTTAAAATCTAATCTGCTTACCGCAGGATGGATTAAAGCTTATGTTTAAAATTTGGTGTTTTTCTTTTTAATCGTTTTTGAATTATCTTCAAAATTCAAAATTTGCACTTTTTCTCAAATATCTCGAATACGGACCATTTTAGGAAAATTTTGTATAGGACAAAAATTATAGAGAATACAATTATAAGCAACTTTTATTTAAATAATTTTCTTCTCAAAGTGTAAATAACAGATTTATTCCATAAAGTAGAAAAATGCCCCCTTATAAAGTACCACCCAGATGTTCCGACTATACCCAAATATTAATCAGTTTGCCCTAGAATGGATTAAAGCTTAAATTTAAAATTTGGTGATTTTCTCTGTATTCGTTCATGAGTTATCGAGTATACAGACACAGATACACACCTAGACTTCATCGCAAAAATAGTCAAAACGGATTAAGGAGACCCCAAAACGTAATAGTCAAAACGTAAAAATCTGTTGAAAACTCGAGTTCGAAAAAAAAAAAAAAAAAATCATGATTCTATACTTTACTTCCTGATCTATTTGAGTGGCTCAATGCCAGAGTTGCTTAATCAACAAAATTTCAAAACAACTTCTTCGTATATTATTTAAAAATAATTTATCTGCATACCAAACTTGCCTTTTCCTTAAAATTATTCGTTTTCGGTGCCTCCATCTACGTAAAGATTATTACGTCTTTAGGAATCTATAGAATCGGACGAGAACTCCACTTTAATCTTTTGTGATTTCAGTCGAGCTTTCAACTGTATCTATTACACTAACTATACGGTATAGACATGAATTATTTGTATCATATCTTTCTAATCGAACATGGTTTTGTAAAATCCACAATAACGATAGAACCTTCCTTTCTTATCAGTTAGTTAATAAAATTCGAGTTCCTTAAGGATCTAACCTGGAACCGATCCTTCTTATTATTTATATCGATGAGTTACTATATCACCTAAAACGTTTACTTGCTTTTATGCTGATGTTTCTTTTCTCTTAGAATAAGAAGAAAATATATTTATTGGGGACTCCCAAAGGGCTATTATATATGAATAAAACATTTTATCATTAACAATACATTTAATATGCAGTAGTGTTACATAAAGTTTGATCCATATGGGAATTTTTTAACATTTCACTGAAAAAAAAAAAAATCGTACGACATTCAACCCTGCTTTTTTAAAGCGTGTGCTTGCATAGAGGCGTATTCAGATTAATGATTAAAAATATGTATATTTTTAACAATTAATCCATTGAGAAATTTAATATCCCGTCCTTAATCTATATTTTTGGCTTATAACTTAAATATTTATATATTTTTTTCATTTAAGGCTATATTTGAAAATATACTAGTAGACCTACCTTTAGCAGAATTCTTCCTAGCAAAATTATTAGTGGATCGAGCACCTGCTCATTATTTAAAATCTTTAGACCCAGTTCTATACAGAAATTTGCTATATCTCAGAGATTATAATGGAGATATAAGCGATTTGGGCCTCGACTTTACTACAGTCAATAACGATTTGGGAGAAACTAGAGTAAGTTATGTTTGTTTATTTATGTAACATTTTGTAAATAATTAACAGCAAATCAAAATTTATCCATTTCTAATTTAAAAAAAAATTATTAGTTCATATATTATTTTTAGATTTAATCTTGATTCGCACTGTATATATTTTCTGGGTAAAATAGTATTTATATTACAAATAATTAAAAAATACAATTTTTGTTTTCTAAATGTATTAGTCACTTTAAAAACACAAAGTAAGTATTTCTAAAAATTTTCTTTTCTTTTAGGTAATGGACCTCAAACCGGATGGTTCAAACATTCCAGTGACAAATGAAAATAGGCTAGAATACATTCAAAGATTGGCAGATCTCAAATTAAACAGTCAATTAAGGAAACAATGTATCGCTTTTAGGGACGGTCTTAACAGTGTCGTACCTCTCACTTGGTTAAAGCTATTTAGTCACACAGAACTGCAAGTTATTATTGGCGGTGATACACAAGAGATTGATGTTAACGATTTATGTGAACATACTGCATACGGAGGTATACATTTTTTTATAAAAACTTTACAAGTAGATAGCTGGAAAACTATCTATTATTGCAGCACAAGAATAGTGACAACTCAAAAACTTCTGTAATCGAATTTGACAATGTATGACACAAATCTAGTGTTCCGAGAGTCAGTGAGACAAGATCGTCAATTTTCGGCTATAGTGACACAAATCAAAATATGAAGTTTTTATTAAAAACTAAGCATTATTTTTTCAACATCGACATAAGTAAAATTAGGAAATTGTTGTTGAATTATCAATATGGTGTTAATATAATTTTCTGGAAGATCTTCATAACTCAAAAGAGAAATAAAAATTTTATATTTTTGGGTTTTTTCTTATACTTAATCTAGTGATGCGACAATTAATGAGACAAGATCGTCAATTTTTGGCTAGAGTGACATAAATCAAAATATGCCAGTTTTATTAAAAATAAACTAAGAACATTATTTGCAACAATAGGTCATCAATAAGAGGTGGAATATACTTTTCTGGAATATCGTCATGACTCAAAACAGGGATGAACTTGTAATATTTTGTGTTTTTCTTAATGCTATTAAAGCATATTTGTTATTGTTTAAATGTTTATAACCAAAAAAAGATTTTTAAACATTTTAAAGATTAATACAATTACAATGTATAACCTTGAAAATATACGTTGTTGAGTTGTGTCACTATTCTTGTATACCAACGATATATTTATGTCGCACGCTGTATGTTTTATACATTTTTATCTTAAAATTATAATTTTTGTTTAGGGGAATTTTCAGCAGATCATCCAACCATAGTTTTATTCTGGAAAATTGTACACAGATTTACAGAAGTACAGAAAAAACAATTATTGAAATTTGTAACGAGTTGTTCCAGACCACCTTTATTGGGTTTTAAGGTACTTTTATTTTATTTAATTTAAATATTTTGCGGGTATATATAAAAATTTTATTTAGATAGTGTAAAATGATATTTTATTTATTCGCATTTATTCAGATTTATACATGTCTATTCATGTTTATTTATGTTTATTCACGTTTATTCATGTTTATTCATGTTTATTCATGTTTATTCATACTTATTCATACTTATTCATACTTATTCATACTTATTCATATTTATTCATATTTATTCCAATTTATTCCAATTTATTTCAATTTAGTTTATTTTATTTTTATTTATTTCAATTTATTCCAATTTATTCCAATTTATTCCAATTTATTCCAGTTTATTCCATTTTTGTCCAATTTATTTCAATTTATTTCAATTATTTATTTCAATTTATTTCAATTTATTTCAATTTATTTCAATTTATTTCAATTTATTTCAATTTATTTCAATTTATTTCAATTTATTTCAGTTTATTTCAATTTATTTCAATTTATTTCAATTTATTTCAATTTATTTCAATTTATTTCAATTTATTTCAATTTATTTCAATTTATTTCAATTTATTCAAATTTATTCCAATTTATTCCAATTTATTCCAATTTATTCCAATTTATTCCAATTTATTCCAATTTATTCCAATTTATTCCAATTTATTCCAATTCATTCCAATTTATTCCAATTTATTCCAATTTATTCCAATTTATTCCAATTTATTCCAATTTATTCCAGTTTATTACGATACATTACGATTCATTACGATTTATTACAATTTATTACATTACAATTTATTACATTACAATTTATTACATTACAATTTATTACATTACAATTTATTACAATTTATTACAATTTATTACAATTTATTACAATTTATTACAATTTATTACAATTTATTACAATTTATTACAATTTATTACAATTTATTACAATTTATTACAATTTATTACAATTTATTACAATTTATTACAATTTATTACAATTTATTACAATTTATTACAATTTATTACAATTTATTACAATTTATTACAATTTATTACAATTTATTACAATTTATTACAATTTATTACAATTTATTACAATTTATTACAATTTATTACAATTTATTACAATTTATTACAATTTATTACAATTTATTACAATTTATTACAATTTATTACAATTTATTACAATTTATTACAATTTATTACAATTTATTACAATTTATTACAATTTATTACAATTTATTACAATTTATTACAATTTATTACAATTTATTACAATTTATTACAATTTATTACAATTTATTACAATTTATTACAATTTATTACAATTTATTACAATTTATTACAATTTATTACAATTTATTACAATTTATTACAATTTATTACAATTTATTACAATTTATTACAATTTATTACAATTTATTACAATTTATTACAATTTATTACAATTTATTACAATTTATTACAATTTATTACAATTTATTACAATTTATTACAATTTATTACAATTTATTACAATTTATTACAATTTATTACAATTTATTACAATTTATTACAATTTATTACAATTTATTACAATTTATTACAATTTATTACAATTTATTACAATTTATTACAATTTATTACAATTTATTACAATTTATTACAATTTATTACAATTTATTACAATTTATTACAATTTATTACAATTTATTACAATTTATTACAATTTATTACAATTTATTACAATTTATTACAATTTATTACAATTTATTACAATTTATTACAATTTATTACAATTTATTACAATTTATTACAATTTATTACAATTTATTATAATTTATTATAATTTATTACAATTTATTACAATTTATTTATTACAATTTACTCCAGTTTACTCCAATTTATTTATAATTTCTTAAAATTTCATAGTTCTAAAAATAGTTGTTCTTTATAGGAACTCAATCCTTCGTTTTGTATTCAATCTTCTGGGACTGAAAATAGAATGCCAACATCAAGTACCTGTTTGAACTTGCTCAAAATTCCAATTATCACAGACGAAGAAGTTTTGAGAAGTAAATTATTGTCGGCTATTGAGCAACAAGCCGGCTTTGAACTGTCCTAATTTATTTTGAAAAATAATTGTTAATACCTCTTTTTTGTTAAATTATTTAATAAACGTAATTATATTGATGTGAAACCGAGGTTTTATTTTCAACTTTTATGAGGCTGAATATTGCAGAATATTCAATGTTTTTAACCACAAGCTGCCACTGCTTCTTACAAAATTTAAATAGAACCATTTTTCATGTTCCATATTGAACTTCTGTAATAAAGTAAAATATCTTCCTCAAATTTTAGTTTTATAAAAAATTTACAAGTCATTTTTTTAGTGTATATATTATTCAATTACATTTCGGTTACGATAAACTTAATTTTTGAAGTATGCATAAATAAATCTGCAAACAGCAGCAGTTAAAAAACGTAGGTGGCTTTGCAGAATTAGGCATTCCAAACAAATGAATTACCAGTGGGCAGGTTTGGTATATCTAAGGGTAGCAACTTATGGTGTATTCTATCTACTTTACGTAAAATCATGAATAATGGAGTACATTTAAATATTTTATGTTAAACAATAAAAATAATATTTAAAAAACCCCCTATACATTTCTTCATAAATTGGCAGGCTTGGCGCGTACTACTTCGAATAAAAATAGCGTCCAAGTTGCAAGACTATGTCGCTACCCCCTTAAATATACAAGAATTTCCCACTGGCACCTATTGTTTGACAGGTCGTTGGAATGCCTATCGTTCACGTAGTTGTAGCGGTTGTAGTTTATTATTTACTTTAGGATAAAAACAGAATAAAAAACTTCAAAAAATATATATAACTTATGTGAGCTGTGTATCCAGATGATATTAAAAAGTTTCATCATAATCTGAAACATTCGTCTTATTTACTACTTACAAGACAACAAAATATATTTGGAAGAATTTAAAAAGTTTTATTGGAGGTAAGTGGATCATTTACTAATATTTCAAAAGTTTAACAAAATTGTGTCAAATATTATATTAAATAGACATTTAACAACACCTAGTCCCAGTTACTCGCCGTTAAAAAAAAGAATTTCGGAAGCATTTAAATGTAATTCAAGATATTCCTTTAAAATTTTATTATATTTTTAGGCTGTGTATTTTTCAAATAATTGAATAGCTATTGTATAAAGAGGACAAGTATTTACATTTTGAAAAAGTCAATAATAAATGTAAAAGAAAGAAGTAAGCTGGGCATTTGATGGAAAGATTTTCACTTATATGTATATTAACCTCGGTATTAAATTAACAGATGTGTGAAATTTGAGAATTTTTAAGCCATGGTGCAAGTATATTGGCAATTTATTTTTTATTAATTTTAGGGAAGCTTTATTTCTTTCCTCTCGCCATTTAGCTGCAATCACATTTTTAAAATATTCAGAGTCGATTTTGTAATTATGATTTCTTATTTTGACATATAAAATTACATCTTTTGTAATCGCAGCAAGTGTCAAAACGATCTAATTCATGCAAACTAACCCTCTCGATTTCATAGACTCGACAATAAGTAGCGATTGAGAAAACAGTGTCTAGGTACACGCTAACTTGTACGCAATTCAAAAATTTATATACACGCGAAACGTCTTGACAGAGTAGGTGAGCTGTGTGCAGGCCGTTGGTGTTTACGCCGGTCGTGGCTAGGCATGGATTGAAATTTTTTTGTGTCGGCGAAGCCGCCACCCTACGAGAAGTCGTTATTTCGTTTTCTTGTTGTCACGGCATTATTATTATTTGTTCATTCATGTGAAATTTGCTTCTAAGGTTTATAAAATATTACTGTGCTAGTCACGGCGTCACGGCGAAAATGAAAACAAACAAGACGCATTCACACAAATACCACGGCATAATAAACAATCGGCAGGCTAACTTAGGCGAGTTCGGTCAGTCAGGGGCTGGAGCGGGACAAATTTTAGGGTGCTTTTAAATGACATTTAAGCGTGTTAAACTGTCACTAATCGGACTAAACCGAACGCTAAAAGAGTCGTTTGGAGTTAAAAGTGTTAAAGGAGTTAAAGGAACGTGGCAAACCGAACGCAATGCTTGTCGCACATCTACGCGCACACCGCCATTTTGGGGTCCAACCTCTCAACCCAGTGGCGTCACTGTCGTCGTTTATATCGACAAAAACAAACAAGTTGCAGTAGCACGGAATCAGTAGCGTGTATCTTAAATTTATTTTGTTTGTGATGTTTGTATTATGTAGTTATTGTTATTTTTTTAGAATTATAGATATTTTTAGACACTTTTTATATAGTAGTTGTTTTCCAGTGTTAATTTGTTAACTTTTAAGTGTTTTACTATGTCTGGGCAAAGTTGTGCAGCAAAAAACTATATGAATAAACTGTATTAAAAGATTTTTTCGGTTTCTTAAAGATCTTATTAGGTATGTATGGTATACTTTTAAAAAAAATCCTAGTTTATGAGTCAGTTTGTCAGTTATAAAGCTATTAGTAAGATGTAGGTAGGTGCCTAGTTAACGTTACGTAAAGTTTAGCGTCAATTCATATTTACTTATGTAGGTATATTATTAAGATTTAAAGTAAAATGTTATATTTAAAACATCTCCCGTATGGAGTTGACAAACTGGAAAAATCTTTATTTTTATTTTCAGGAAAAAGTCATTATAAAAAAAATTCTGTTTGACGAAAAAATAGGTTTACTATATTAATATGTTAGGTCAGGTGTACATGGTCTTAATAAATGAAGAAACTTAAAATTGACAAAAGAAAATAATCTGTATTACCTTATTGATTTTACGAAGAAAAGTCACAGTTTTCCTTTCGGTTTTCCTTCATAACTTTAAAAGGAAACTTTTTCTTGTAATTTTCTTCAACAAGCAGAATTTTTTGTATGGAATAATTTTTTTTTCTGAAAAAAAAAAAATGAATATTAATCGTAATTGTGTTATTCCCAAATATTGAAATGCTTAACAAAAATTTAATTCTGATATTCATTTTGATAATTATTCTAGATATGCGAATAACAAAGCTTTATAATCTTGATAAATCTAAAGTATTTTAATTACAAAAAGCAAGAAAATCTTAATTAGCCATTAAAGAAATTATAAGTAGTAAATTAGTAATGAGTCACAATCAAAATCATGTGTTTTAAGCAGTGCTATTAAAAATGTAAAATTCTTATATTTTGTCGAAGTAAATTCAAAAGCACGCCAATTTTCAAGCTAAAATAGCATTACATCTTTCTATATTACCGACTGAGTATTAGTTGCACAAAACTATTCCATATGTCGCTGAAGGTAAACATGCTGCCAAATTTCTGTGAGGAATCTGCAACTCTTAATTATCCTTCCTCCATGATGGTAACTGTGTAAACCCTACATCGGTCCAAATTCAAAGGACGTTCAAAAAATTGCAATGTTTAAATTTATTACATTCTGGAACTGAAAACTGCGAAACAGGTGGGGATGCTTTACTTGTAAGGCTACATGAAATTCGTAGGACTAGTAAGGATGAGCCATTTTCCAAAATCGCGTGTAATGGTGGCAATATTGTCGAAAATGTAAATATAAACAAGCAGCGCCAATTTGTTTTGGTATTAAAGGAGTATTTCTGCCTATACTGACAAATACAATTTTTAATAGAATTCGTAAATAAAAAGTATATATGTTAGTTTTAATAAAAGTATATGGATTTATAAAACAATTGAAACATTAATTTATTATTATTATATATTTTTCACGCTTAAATTGAAGAAAATTATGTATAATCATTAAAAATCAATAATAAAATATAGGCAGGCAACAGTATTTACTGGAAAATGTATGAGAAGTTGCCTAAGTCTAATAAGTTGTCATTGAAGAAACCATTTATAATAGCGTGAAGTTAAAATGTATAAAAAGGATCGCTACTTATATTTTCATTTTTGTTCTAAAGAAAACATAGAATGAATGATTAAAACTGGTTTCCGATCAGTAAGTCACAAAATTGCATACCAGCCAAATATTATAATCAACGGCAGAAATCTTGAAATCTAGTCCTTGCTGAATGAACATTTAAGAATAAAGGGATATTAAAGAACATCGTAAAATGATAATTTATTGTTTATTTAAAAACTTTCTAGTTTACTAGTCTACTATTTCCAGCATTACTGTTATTATCACAAAAATAAAGATAATTTTTCTTCTTATTGTACACCTATCCATTTATTTCTTTGATTTAATTACCACTTTGTTAGTGAAATTTGTTATATAAGTTTCACTGTTTTTTTGCTAGTATTTGTACAATTTTCAACACAGCAACTCCGGTTGCTTATTGGGTTGTTTTTACCTACTTTTTTGAAAAAAAGTAAAATGTATACGTGTATTTGATATGCCAAAATTACAAAATATCCCCCTAAAATGCACGAATTATCCGCAGCTAGCGCTAGTATCGCTTTTGCTTCCCTTTCCATGACTTCGCACGGAGCGAATACCTTACTGTGCAAATTTTTGAGAATTTTTATTTAAAAAATGTGAGTTTTTTTACATTGTCTTACGAGAAAGTAAGACCTCAACAACAATTCTCGAATATACTATTATTTATTGATTAGATGGAGTAGAAAAAAACTAAAAATAAGGTTTTTGAAATATTTAGGTTTTGTTTTTTACAATAAAATACAGGGCGATTCATATAAGAACCGACATAGAGCAGGGGCATATAGGGGGTCCCAAAATATGGCAATTTAACGCAACTTACCTCTATACCAAGTTGCTTCCCTAAGGAGTTATAGGCTTTGAAAGTGAAGTTATAAATTTTGAAAAAAATCAATATCTCCGTTATTCTGGAACTTAAAGCAACCAAATTTGGTACACTTTGTGGATGTATTTAGGGCGTTACTTGAAAGTAACTAGAGTTTAATTGAAATTTGTAAAGGGGGTATACTGGGTGGCGCACCATTAATATTCAACAGAATTTTGTTAACCCTTGATGGATTTTAAAAATCTTTGCTTTGTTTTGTGGGCAATTCAATTCTTAAACTTTTCTTACTCTAGTAATTTTTCGAAAAAACTCATCATTTTCATCAAAAACTCGAATAACTTAAAACGCGCGCTCTAGGTGTGTT